GACATCAGCTTATTTAACGTCTGCATTGTTTGTGGAAATTTCTCATATCCTCCACATCCTATATTTTAAAATGAAGGAAAGTCTCTCAAAATGAGACTATTCATGGACTCTTCGCCAGCTTATCTTTTTTATACAATGTTTAATAATGTTGGAACTAGAAATGTGCCCAAAAAATAAGGTAGGTCCACTTTTGAAAAAGTCTCCTTAGCATTTCTCTTTTAAAATCTACCATGACTAATAGAGATGTTGGGATTGATAAATTAAGTAAATGTTGTTACACAAAAGCCAAAGAACCCTAATTTTAAAGATAGTGTTATTCACACATCACTTTTATCTCTCATCCACCAATTTTTATCTTTTTTACTATTGATCTTCTTCAATTCATTCGATCCAATAACCAAAAACTAAGAGGGGTATGAGAGAAAAATAAATGTCTGTTTAGCACTACCCAGTTTTAATATGTCCCTATGAACACTTCAACTGATTAACAATTTTAGGAGAAACATGTGATTCATTTGATTGATAGAAAATTACCGGCACGGTGGTACAATACCTAAAGATACTTAACGTTGAAGTTAAGTTGTTTTTTGGTTTAATGCAAATAATTTAGTTATTATTGTTCGCTTAGAAATAGAGGAAGTGTCATTCTTAAGCTAGACTACAATATAACTGACTGAGCAACAATATCATTTCGGGAATGAGTTTCACACAATTTTTTTTTTTATTCTGCACACTTTTTCTATTTGTTTTATTAATTTTTTTAATTTATTTAACTTAACAACCATAAGTTTTTTTTTTTTTAATTTAGAGTTAATTTATTTACCAAGTGAATTTCCCTCGTCGTGCCATTAATCAAGCTGCGATAATCTTACTTATTATAATAAATGAAATGGCAAATAAGAGCAGTATATTGACTCTCTATTCTTTGTCATGTATATACACACATAATTTTATGACTTTTTTATTCGTGTCACATTTCGTCATTGTTTTTCAATTCTTATACATTGTAAGGTTCCTTAATGACTAGTCATCACCATTGATTCATTTATATATTTTTATGTCGGGTATCATTTGAATTTATATAAAACAAAAAACAACTTTTCAATTATATAAAATAATTTAAACAAAGTAAGGTCAAATTGCACAAAAGACCCTTTAGTTTGAGCAATTTTATACCAAGTCTCGTAGTTTCAAATTTAACATTTGGTCCTCAAGTTCAGTGCTCTTGATTCCGTCGCTAAGTCGCTATAAATTTAAGACATAAACTTGCGCAACAGATGTCTTATTACACTTGGTTGTAATTTTTTTTTGTTTAGGGTTTTTGAACTTTAATCCTTGAAGAATATTAAAATTCAATAAAAACCTAGTGTTAGATTGGATATTTATTTTAGTCCTCTAATGTTTACTTAATTCAAATTTATATTATATTTTTGTTTTAATATTTAATAGATATATTATTTAATGTCATTACATTAAAATTAAAATTATTTATTATTATTCATTTTAATTTATTATATTTATTTTACTTCCTCTAATTAGTGTATCTAAACGTCCGTATCATAATATATTTTACTAAATTATTGTACTGAAATGTCTGTACCCAAATATATTGTAGTGAATTAGTGGCACATAAGAAAATATGCAAAAACATAAGTGTACTGAAAAATTCCGTCCCTAAATATATGATATTAAACTAGTGTACCGAAATGTCGATATCTAAATATATTATAATAAAATAGTGTACCGAAATGTTTGTACCTAAACATATTATACTAACCTAGTGTACCAAAATGTTCGTACCCAAATATATTGTATTGAATTAGTGGCACATAACAAAATATGCAAAAACATGTGTACCAAAAAATCTTTACGAAAATTTTTTCTTATATAAGATACTTAGCATAATGAGAATTAAAACTTATAATATTTTCATAAAATTTAATTTATGAACACCATAAAATTATAAATAAAAAAGAGAGACATTTAATATGCTAGCATTCAATAGAGTCTAGGACTAAAATCAATTTTTAATCTTGTATAAGACATTTTTCTAAATTTCATCTTATTTAAGGATTAAAATCTAGTTTTCTATTTTTTTTTTTCAACCAATTGTATTATTACATTTAGTGTATCAAACCGTGTTCTGAATAGACTGAAAAATCTCTTGGCGATTAGGGCTTAAATTGTAAAAATAAGCAACCTACAAGCTTAAAGTAAAAAATTGTTACAACTAATTCACAAACTTTACACCACGTTATACGTAGGTGTGTACATCACTGATTCACAGCCGCTTATTCTAAAACTAATTCACAGCCGCTTATTCTCACAGCACAGCCACTTATTATCACAGCAGCTTTTTTTCAAAGCACAGCAATACCAAACCAAGCCTTAAATTGGATCGGCCTTGTGAATGGACCTTTTGTTGGGCTTTAAGCACCCACAATTTATTTTTTTTCGGAATTAATATTTTAACTTTTTTTTTTTGTTACAATTCGAATTTTAACATATGAAACGAACCAATTTTCCTATATAAGTACATCACGTGAAGGTAAGAAGGCATTGGATTATTACCAAAAAAAAAAAATTCACTTTGGATTTTGTATAATTTTCCTATAAAGTTCGGTAGAATATAAAGTTTGTATATTGGCGAATAAAGGCATGAGGAAATTAATACCACACTTTTGTAGGAGCGATATTATGTCGAAGGAAATTGCAATATGCAAGCCTCGATCAAGATCCAAGTCAGTGAATTGTAATTGCTTTCAATTTTTATGTTGTTGTATTCTACATTTAATTTAAAATACAATATGCTTTTGTTATTAATTTTATATTGTTCTCCAAGTATACGGTGGTCTCAAAATTAATGTCACTTAAGCGAAGATAAATTCTAGTACGGATCTCCAATCCAAATCGGCTTTGTCACTTACAACCATATTTATATAAGCTTCATAGTAATCTATACTTTAAACGTCCACTTAGAGTCTTTCACCCTCGGGTATCTCCTCTTCAACCTAAACAGATTTCTCCATATGCAAAGCAAGTTCGATTTCTTCAAGCTCCTTTTTCGTATAGTTTGGCTCACCATATTTTTAGTTAAATCAACCTTGATCAACTTTTTTTCTTATATCTAAACAAATAATGTCTGAAAGGAATTTTTGCGAAGTTGTAACAAGGGCCAAAGCAACAATTGTGGAAAATGAATGCCACTATATAGTAGAATTACGTCGATATTCTTCTAACAAAGAAAGAAATAGACATGGTAGATCTTGTCATATCAGTGTTGCGTGAGCTATGGAACATTTACGTCATGTCCCGTAGGGATTGAGCATGATGGTTCGTTGAGATATACACGTTGTACTATGATTTGAGGTTTGAGACCCGTTATCTTTTCCCCACATATTGGGTTAACTTCCCTTTTAAGCCTTGTTGGGCTTAAGTAAAACTTTGGACTTTGCTAGGTCTTTTTGGCCCAATAGCTTTGTCAAGTTAGTAGCTCGTGGTCACATTTGGTGTGTCCGATATGAAAGCCTAGGCAAAGGTGGCTAGCTCTCGTAGGCAAGTTCATCGAGGCCAACACAATCTCATTTATAACTCGTTTATTAGTCTGTAATCAGATTAGGAGGAATTGAATTAAAGAGGAGTTGTTATAGGTTGGAATCAGAATCGAATTCCTATTGAAGATGTTTATTAAACTATCTGTAATTGGATTGAGAATATTGCAGATTCCAAATTAGCTGTTTACTAATTCATCTAAATCGGTAAAACAGTTTGTTTACTAAAATACCCTTGTACATAGTTCTCCTTGTACAGCAGCAAGAGTGTTGCAATCACCACCAATTGACTCCATCTCCTTCAATTTCACTCCGCCCACCTCCTTACATACCCTCTGAAAAAACCCCATAGTTTGCCTCGCTGCATATGGTTCTCAAACCCCAGAACAAACCCTTCGGTGATCATATGATTTTGGCCTACTAAGTCAAAACAAGATTTGTGCTCACTTTTACGCACAGTTAGATAATCAAATTCAATTCTACAGATCCATCCAATTATTCAACATGTTATTTGGGACGAGATGCGATGGGTCTACAACGGTGCGCACGGCTTCAATTTGTTGTGACAATCAAGCTTGGCTTTGAAGATGGAAGTGTATAAATCATCATTGTGTTGCCACTATTAACTACAAACAGTGAGGAAAATGTCATTTTTAAGTGTAATAGCTACAACAAAGAGTGTTAATTTGTCTCCAATTTTCTATTATCAACACAACTGTTACCTCAACATTGAATAGCAACCATGAGCCACCATTAATAGTGGCTATTACTTATGAGGGTAAATATGATGATTACGTTGTGGCCTATATTTAGGCTGGCGGCACAGAGAAAATATAGAGAGGGATGTCTTTGTAGAGTTGTGTAGAGAATGTGTTATTTTCCCTACGCATTGCCTTTATTTATAGTAATAAGGGAGGAAAGAAATCATTATCCTCCAAGGAATACAAGTCCTAATAAGAAAGAATAACTAGAATCAAATCTAATATAGGATTTACACGATCACACTTAATTAAGAAGTTTATAACAGATTAGAGAAATCTTGATATTTTTGGTGTAATAAGAATACACACAAGATTTGATCATATATACATCAAGAAAATGAGACAAGAAATCAAAAGAACGCATATAATGAAAAGTAGAAAATTAGACATGCGATATCATGCATCCAATAAGAAAAAATCATTAATTGATATGATGTTTCAAAAATGTTTAAGAGAAATATGATGTGCAGTATAATTGCCATAATTTAATTAAGATTAATTACAAAGAATAAATGCAATACTTACATTCTAACCACCACATTTTAGAGGTTATAAGTCTATATAGGGTGGCCCTTCACTTCATAGGAATTAAAACGCAAAATGAATACTAAAAAGCTTCTGCGTTAGTCCAAAAATGGTGAAGGAAGGTTAATGGTTTAAAATTAGGTGATAGATTTTAATATATCGATGCAAAGGAAATATGGGGCATGGTCCTTATAATAAATCTAAAAAGAAATACAACCCAAATATTGAAACACAGAAAAGAGTAATTTATCTCATCACAGAAACGAATTTAAGTTACATATTACACATACATCTACCTCTCTACATGACCATTCCAGACTTTAACTTTCACGATGACAACTCCTTCCAACTACTAGACACACTCCACTGATCGGAACTTGCCACCGACGAGTTCCCTCCGGTGCCGCACTTGGCCACCGTCCTCACGCTTTCAATCAAAGCCTCAGTGCGAGCCTCCTGCGACAAAATCTCAGAAAGCTGCTCTGGACTTATCACCAGCTTCACCTTCCAAACCCCACTACTATTGTACCTCGGAAAAACTTCAGGGTCTGCCGCTCTCTTGCCTTGGCTGTCACACGTCATGCGATACGGTGTACAAACGGCGCCGTTAGGGTTTGCATTAATATCATGATTCTTTGGGGTTTTGTAGGGGTTGAGAGGTAGGAGATAGTAAGGCTCTCTGGGATGAAGCTCTTCGTTGTGGAGAAGAGGTTGGGCGAAGAGGTCAGGGCTGCGGAAGATGGCATGGCCTGGGAACTCATTGGTTATGGAGTTAGCTGTGATGGGGGCAAAGAGCTCCATGATTCCCCCACTGGATGTCACCACTTTCACCATCTCTTCTGCCTCTTCAAACCCTTTAAACACACAATTTCCCATTTCTTATACAAGAGATTATTCGGTGTATCGGATATACCAGAAAATATGGAAGAGGGATCAATTGGGGTGAGATAAAAGAGATTATGGGGATTTTAGTATATAAGGGGGGTGTTTAATCGTTGAGGGTTTTTGTTTGTTTTCCATGGCCTAGACCTAAGGTAAGCAAACACAGCCGGCATAAGATATTCTTTAACTTCTTTACAATCCAAAAAGGAATGTATTATGTAACTGATGTGAGGGGGTTTTATAGTGGGATGACCCCCCACCTTTTCTTAAAGACAACATTGGCGCTTAATTTACACAATATTATTTGGTAGGTAACACTATTCCATCACACAAAGAAAAGAATCTTGTCATAACTGAACATGATTAAGCAATCTTAGCCCTTTATAATCATATATATGGTTAATTAATCAATTGTGATAAATGGAATGAGTGGAGGATCATTTCATAGTTGCAGATTAATTAGCGGAAAGTAAGATATATCAAATCAGATTTATTTTGATATTCTTTGTGTAGGTAAAGTATAAGTCGTGGACTTCTTTTTCTATGTAAGACGACAAGGCAACCAACAGAGGGAGTTCTTAGTGCTAGAAAAATGTATTCTGTGGAGGGCTCAACAAAAGAAGAAAAAAAAAGTATATTTTCGTTTGGGTAATATTGAGATGTTGGCAAATTTTATTGTAATTGCATGTCAAACGTTTAAGGAAAATATATGTTGACTAATTGACCGTAATATTGGTGGATCATGATGATCATGGTTGATTATCAGTGAATCTCGAGCGGCATGTCTCTCTACTTTCTTGCTTTGCTTTTACTAAGTGGATCCCACTTTTCGACGTCTACTCTCTGTTAGGAGAAGGTCATGGGTGCGGCCACCGTTGACGGTGATCCCCAATGTTTTGTGTGAGAGGGGGTGCGAAACGATGGGGTCCGGGTAGTGTAAAAATCAAGAGGGTAGTGGGGTAGGGATGTTTTTGTGCGCGCGCGCCATATAGCCATATGATCCAATCCCTGGACAAAAAACAATTTCTCCTTTGTTAAGTATACGTGTATCACTTATCGCATATTTTTTTGAGTTTTTATCACAAATTGTCTATTATATTTTGTCAACTCATCAATTTGGTTTTTTATGTTTTAAACTCATTAATTTTGCCCTTCATGCATGTGGAGCTTACAAAACCAATGGTGTAGCACCACATAGATAACAAAAAATTCATGTTACAAAACCAATGGTGTAGCACCTTTGCCACCTCTCCTCCCCCACCCCGACAGCACCTACCCATCCCAGGCCCCAACTGCACCACCTATCTTTTTGTAATTAGTCACGAAAAGAATCCTAATTTAGTTTCATTTCTGATTATTCAAATTAAAATGTTTGTCTCCACCAGTAAGGATAATAAGGTCTGGTTATAGTGTAAAGAAGTGGGTGGGATTTTGGTATTGCATCATGTGGTTCATTGCTTTGGTGCTGCTGATACGAAGGTAAAGAATGAGAAAACATTTCTTATTGGAGTCAAGTTTAATTCTCTTTTGCTGATCTGTTTATTGGTTAGAAATTTTGAATATAGGTAGATGGCGCGATAGTGCTAAAACTGATTTTGATCCAAAAAAGTTTGTTAACATCAATGAATTCAGATATTTCAAATGAATACTTGTTCAAAGGAAAAAGAGCACAGCACGCTTATATGTCTATTATAGTATATTGTCGAAAACTCCCCCTAGATCAATAATTTTGCTATATAAGTGACTTCCCAAAGGTTATTTTTGGGTGTGTATAATGAAATGAAATAAAATCACTAATTAATATGAAAATCCGCCACACATGAAGGCGAGTGTGAGGATGTGGATATAAGTATCACATCAGTGAAAGGAGAAATATTGCAAGGGTTTATAAGAAGTTGAACTACCTCCTTTATTGCCAATTAGTTTTATGGTGGGGTAGTGTTATCCACACATCCATTTTTACTTTTCACACACCCCATTCAATTTTCAGCATTCAGATCGAACGAATTAAAGAAGATCAATTGCCAAAAATTAACAAGGTGTGTAAAAAATAAAAATGGGTGTATGAATAGCACTACCCTTTATGGTGAAACCTTAAATTTCTTCATAGTATCATATAGCAAGTTGCCCCATATATAGAGTCCAATAGACACACGTACTCCACGTCATCTAATTCATGCTGCTAACACGTTAAAAATAAAATATAGAGAAAGAGACAACAATGAGAGAAAATTGAGGAGAAATCCAAGTGTATTATTCAAATTCGTTAGAATCCCTATATATAGGCACGGGTTTCCACTATTTACATTAATGAGGATCTAAACTATTGACGTATTACACAGTAGCCTAGAAATTAACAACCACATAGTAAATGATATTTACGATGTTTTTCTTTATTTATGAATAAAAATTTTAAGATTGAATTCGTGAAATGCGAGTTAGATATCAGTTTATTCCCACTCCTTCTTAGTGTTAATATACCATTGATTAAAAAAAAGTGTAGAAATCACTCTTCTTGGTTACTACCTCTTCTCATCACTCAATCTATAATACAAATCAAATCAAGTTAATCATAATATTAGGATATAATTTAAGGAAAACTAATGAAAATGACTTGAAAACTTTGAGTTTTAACAATAAAGACAAAATAAAAGGTAAAGTGAATAATATCATAATTAACTTTTTAGTGTAAAAATATGATTTTTCGTTAAAGTAAACAATACTGAAATATTTTCGTTAAAATTCCCTATAATTTATGCACACCACTCTTTTATTTTTTAGTTATTAGATTCAAATAAATAAACCTGAGAGTGGGCAAAAATGACTACCCAATTTCCTGATACAAAATCAATTATTCCCAAAAGAAAAAGAAAAATCGGACTTATTTTCCATTAAAAAAAAAAAAAAAAACTTCTATATAAAGGCACACACTCGATTTCCCCATAAAGGAAGCTCTTTTTACTGGTCATGCCACTGGACTGGCCCGTTGAATGTATTTGGTCAGCAATGTAATTGATGACACTAAACTTAATGATTCTCCTCGTTTTATAATTTGAACAATATTATGCATGTGAGTCGAATAGCTGATACAGAAGCGTTGACCAACAATCCCTTCTCCACCACCACACCATGCACATACAACTTTCGGTGTTCTCTCACTCGATTACATTTTGAAATTGATTACTTTTTTTTGGTGATGATGGAATTATTTCTTTGGTGGTTTGCTATTCTAAGCAAGCCAAAAGAATTTTTCAGAAAGTGAAATGGCAATTGCCTGAAACTTTATGATTCTGTTAAAACCCTAAGAAAGATCCAAGGAAAAGTAATTACACACAATAACAACAAATTAAGGTGATTAACTTTACTGTGCTCAGCGTGGGTTCCCAATTGGAAGGATATCAGATCAACCTTCTTTCATGAGTTTTAACTATTTTGACTCTTTGATCACTCTAGAAAGTTATAGGTAATTATATGTGCGCATTTCAGTTTACTCTAAAAATAATAAAGTCTACATGACGTGCATGCCGAATAAGTATGAACTATGTCCTTCTTGTGAATGCAGTTGTGCCAACTTATGACCGAGCTCGGTCGGGCGAATAGAATAGGTGTGGTGGTGGTGTCGAATGCGCTACTAACTTCTACACTTGAGTGACTACAGTCGAGGAAGAAACATATCTCGGCCTTGGGTTCTAGAACATGAAGACAAGATTGCCTAATTCACTGCGACGTTTAGGATTTTTGTACCGAGTTCAACTGCATGGACTATATTAGTGAGAATATAGGTGTACGGAATTGGTATGAGGCTGTAAAGGCAAAGGCATTCGAAGAAGATGAGCGTTTCAATGATGAACATGGTTCGGCCGTCTGAATGTTGAACTGTAAAATGTACCTGAAAGTAACCAATTATAAAACACTTCACTTTGCTAGGAAGTTAATGAAATGACCTCTTTGGGTGAAAGAATTAAGAATTATTCGGATGTCGAGACTTGGATAGATAATCAACCAACCTAAAAGCAGGGATGTTTACTTGGCCAAACTGAAGGTACTCCTATGTTGTTTGATTCTATGGTGTCAATGCTCTTTATATATCTAAACTAAAGATGTGTTGACGGGGGAGGGGGTTTAGGATAGTTATAATTTTTTATAGGTTTGTGAGTAAGGTTTCGTGTAGAACGAGGGTTTCGCGTAGTGCATTTGAGTTGTTTATTGAGTTGAAGGGTTTAAGGGGCTTTCTACGTTACAAATCCTCTTTTATTTATAGGGATGAATTATGTGATGTCCAAGTTTACCAAATGGTATAATTCAGATAATATTGCAATTCTTCGGCATATTTTCTCAATATACTTGGAATTATTCTTAGCCAAAACTCTATCGCCGCCAAGCCTCACCATCTTTGACTACGACTCTAAACCTAGATTGACTTTGAGATTGATCCAATGTTTATTCGAAAACCAATCTTGGTCCTTAATATTTCTCTTATCCAACAACTTAGAATATATGAGCTAAGTGTGTACAAAATCAGGTTCAAACAATTTCACAATGGGATCGATGACACTCTAAAAAACAGACATCTATACTCATTTCTCATATAACACTATATATTAAGAAATAATTTGCATGTTTTCCTTTGTAAAAAAAAAATATATAGGAAAAATGCCTATCAACTATTTGAAGAGCCAATAACAACTTTCCTGATATATAGGCATGATTTGTCACAGTTGAGTTAAGTTCAAGCGGCTTCCATAATAGCAATGAAATTGCCATCCTGCGGTGGCTCAGTGCAATTCGGCCCGGTTCCAACATCAAATTGGAACAAAAACGGTGAAATAACAATGGTTTGGTTCAGTACAATTTCGCTTAAATTTATTACTAAAAATGTACAATTCGGTTCATGCTGATTTAATTTGATTCAGTACATGCCGATTTACGATTCCGAATACTAAATCATTTTAATACCAAATAGTATTCAAATTTTACTTTCTTTTTTTTCTTCTCTTGATTAATATGATAATGCTTGTAGTTTCAAAAGATATAATATGGACATAATAAATTGCACCGACTGAAATGCCAACAAACAAGAGAAAACAATATTAATCAGCTTTTAGCTTTTGGGGACCAGAAAGCAGTATTTATCAACTTATAGTTTTCCTTTTCTGATATGTCTTATAATCAACTGAGCCTCCATAACTACCGGATGAAAACAAAGTGAAA